CTCAGCCCCGTTCCCCTCAGCGCCCCCTGCTCCTCTCAGCCCCGTTCCCCTCAGCGCCTCCTGCTCCTCTCAGCCCCGTTCCCCTCAGCGCCTCCTGCTCCCCTCAGCCCCGTTCCCTTCAGCGCCTCCTGCCCCTCTCAGCCCCGTTCCCCTCAGCGCCTCCTGCCCCTCTCAGCCCCGTTCCCCTCGGCGCCCCCTGCTCCTCTCAGCCCCGTTCCCCTCAGCCCCACCGCTGGCCCCTCACACCCCGCTCCCCTCATGGCCGCCCTTCAGACCCCGCTCCCTCAGCCCCTCATCCCACAAAATCGGGATCTCTTAGCCGGTGTGCCACAAGGCAATAACGACACCCTCGACAGACACATTGATCGATTATTTCAGAGTTGCGCGAGCCGAGGTGTTCGGTGGTGCTCCACAAATCCAGCACACCCCACCAGGCTTTTTACACTATTATTTATACTCAGAAGTTCAGAGTGAGTAACTTTCCAAGTGCTGCCCCTCTATTGAGATTGTTTGGTAATTTACAAGTTGCGTAACCTAGCAAACTTCTACACATGCTAAGGGGAAGGGTCTTTACAGGGTCCTTTTAGAATTATAATGAGCATAGATCAGCTGTAGGATACATGGACCTTCAGTCTATTGCTAATTTAGCAATGTATACACAGACATACATCAACATCCAAATGTACTACATCCTTAATGCTTATTAGTTCCAGGATGTCCTTGAGTAAGGGATGCTGGCTGGTGACTGATCCACGGGTTAGGTCTCATTTCTTGCTGAAAGTGTACAAAGATCTTAAATCAAAGAACACCCCTACACGTTTTTCAACAGCCCCGCTCCCCTCAGCGCCACGTTCCCCCCTGACCCCCAGCCCTGCTCCTCCGCATTGGTCCCTCCCCTGGCCCGAGGGTTCCTTTGGGTTTCCCTCACCCGGTTCGCAGCTCTGGAGGGAGGGTTGGACCCAGGCAGGATCCTGCGGGGATAGAGGGGCAAAGCCTGCGAGATGAGCCGGGATCGGCGGTGCGGGGTCAGGGACACGAGGTGTGGGCACAGTTGGTTATCGTATGAGAATGTCATGCGGTTTTATTAGAAAACATTAAACTATGGCCTGGCAAAAGGAGACGAACCAGTTGGTGCAAATGGTATCTTTAAAGGACACTGTGAAACTTTCGRGTACAGCCCGTTGTCTTAATTTGCAATAAAATCCAGCCCTATCCTCCAGCTGCCCTGTGAACACTGCGCTACCCTGCCAGACTCCGGGAACGCAGGGAGTGACTGCGGAGCAGGATCCATCCCTGTGATCGTTGTGATCCCTACAGGATGACTGTGCCACTTGGAGCAGGATCCATTTCCATGATCTCTGTGATCCCTGCCCGCAGCGACAGCGCGATGCTTGGAGAATCAGAGCCACGGGCTGGGCTTGTATCAGCACTGGAGTGTCCAACGCTCACCGGACGCGTTACCGCAGCCCAGACCGGGCAGATGCCAGGGCGGATCCCGTCAGCTCCAGGACACATATACACGGGCAGATCCCAGGCAGATCCTCCGGCAGATCCGGAGCAGATCCCCGGCCAGAGCCGCGGGCAAAGCCCATGCAAATCCCAGGGCAGATCCCATCCCAGAGCCGCCGGGAGCGACAGGCAGCAGCGTGGACAGCCTTGTCGAGGCGGGGAGCTGGAGACAGGCACAGCGCGGGGCAGCCCCGGCCCGCGCGCCGCCATATATAAGCGTTGCGGGGTCCTCGGGCGCGGTCCTGTCACGCTCGCACGGGGACGAGGCCGCGGCGGCGATGGCGGATTTCGATCCCTACGACGACCGGGCCTACAGCAGCTTCGGCGGCGGCCGCGGGTGAGCGGGGCCGGGGGCAGCACCCGGGGCTTCCCCCGCAGCTGGGACGGGAGTGGGAAGCGGCGGCCCTGGCCGGGCGAGGCGGGGGCGCGGCCACAGGGCCCGGCCTGCCCCGCTCCGTGGGGATGGCGGGCGGGTGAAGCGGACCGAGGGCGCTGCCTCTGGGAACTGTTTGGGCTCGTTCTGGCCCCCGCCCGCCCTTTCCCACGGCGCGGGGGTGCCCTTCCGCTGGCCGTGGCGGACCCGCTTTGTGTGGCGGGGTGGGGGCTGCGGGTCTCGGCGGGGTCCTGGCCGTCTTCGCACTGCTCCGGCCAGCGCCGCAGSATTCAGGGCTGGGTGGCTCGGGAGYGCAGGGAAGGGGCGGGAGGAGGAGRGTGTCGCTGTTCCCGCCGTCCCGGAGGCGAGTGGAGGGGGGATTTAGGGAGGTGCTGGGCCAGATCCAAGGAAGGCCCTGAGGAGCTCGTGCGGGGCCGGATTGGGATGCGCTTTGGGAACGTCCCTGAAGGACTGGAGCAGGGCAGGAGGCCGCTATGCAGGCGGGACGAGACGCCCCCGAGAGCGGGCAGTGTTGTGGTCCCTGCGGCGGGAGGAAATGGGAGGGCTTTGTGGTGCCTCCTCTCGGGGAGCGCTGGGATCCGCTGTCCTGCGTTATCCGGGGCTCCAGGTGTTGACTCCAAATCTCTGATCCTWAGGAATCGGACTTACCTCAGTCTCTTTGCTGAAGAGTGTGTTTAGGGGAAGAGCTGCAGAAACAATCAGTAATTAGAAGTTTGTCTTAAATCAGATTAGGAAGGTGCAATCAAACAGTTTACTTTTTTGGAGGTTGGTGCTGTTGCAAGTTTCTTTGTGCACCGAAATAAAACAGTAGGCATACGRCTATGGAACAAACTTCCTGTAAGCAAATTTTCACGAGTATATTACTGTATAATCTAATCTTTCAAGGTGTGTTTCTTGATCAAGAGTTCCTGCTCTATTCTGCTCTTAGATGAATAACTTGGTTTCATTTCAGACTCTTTAGGCAGCAGGGAGGAGCTGCTGGAGTTAGAACAGCAGTAAGTTTTCCTTGTCTTTGGAAATCCTCTGACACTTTAAGCTTTTCAAGCTCATTTTCATGCACTGATACCCTTTGTGTCTAATTCAGAGMTATCCCAGAGCAAACAGATGATGTAGCCACTTACGTTTCTGTTGTTTTTTTTTTTTTAATACTGTAACAAAATAACCTTGCCAGTAGCGTAAGTGGTACTTGACTCATAATAAACTCAGATATTGCTGCACAGTGAATCCTAGTCAGTGCAGGCACATTCTGTGAAGTAATAAAACGCCAGTTAAAAAWTTATTTTATATTCAGAGTTCTGTAAGATAACTTAAACTTGCTCTCAGGCAAAATGTGGATCCTTATTTGGTGAATTAATGGCATCGTCCAAATTAGTAGATGTCTTTACAGATGAGAAAATGTTCTTATTCTGGATTTACCTGCGGTTCTAAAYTTCAGATACTACTAATACTAGAGTCCAGTGTATACTTCTGTCTAATTTATCATTATCGCTATTAAGTTACTAATTGCTAATTCACTATTTAACAGGTCTCTGTGTGTATTGTATCAAGTCCTGTAATAAACGAAGTGCAATGACAACATGATTTTTCTTGTTGAAGGTTCTGATTAAAGAATCCCATGTTCATTTTAAGTGGCTTTGGCTCATTTTTAGGTGCTCTAAGACTGTGGGAATAGTGTAAACTCAGCTGAGATGTAATAGTTTTTGTGGAAGTTGTATTTTGCATAACCTTTGGTGTGCATAGAAGTAAGCACAGGATTTCAGTGTGACAGATGGGAAACCAGTGCCCAACAGGTACAGGTTCTAACATACGTAACCTATCTGCCTCTTTCTCATAATCTTCAGAATTATAGTGGAAAAATGTTAGGATATGACTGGTGTTTTGAGATGGGATGTTGCTACACTTGGCACTGACTAAAACCTGAGTCATAATATTAGGGGATGCAAAAGTCATTTTWTTCTTGATGAAGAATGTGGTGCTGACATTAATGACAAAAGGCTTACTATAAGCTTTTCAGAAAGTGTTTTGGAGCCCAGAAATTGACAGGAAAACCTGTAGTTAAAGGTAGGGAGGATTAATTGAAACTGAACATCTGTAGAGCTTCTCAGAATTAAAAGAAAGGCGTGAAGCTGTTTATTTAGGTGTGGCTTGAAGTGCTGGGCACCTTACTAAAGGTTAAGATTCACCTGCTGAAGTGCTGCAGAGGTCAGTGAAAGTGAGGAGTTAGTTCTTATGCTTCTGGAAGTTTGGATTCCATTCTTACCTGTCTAGCACATGTCCTGATTTTTAGCCTTGGGTAAGCTTTTTTGTTGAAGACATCTGATACTTACTCTAGACATGTCCTGGGTTGGTTGAGTAAGTTGGATGTGAATTTAGTGTTGTGGTCTTGGAGGGTTCACAGTGCTGCTGATCCTTTATGCTGTCCAGTAAATCTCTAGTGTCAGAACACACATGTTGTCTCTGTGCTGTGCAAAAGTTAAATCCTGAGCTTTGATCTCCAATGAAAAGCTATTTAACTCAAATAGTGGCTTTCAAAATGTCCTTCATTTTGCACTTTTGGCAGATCTTGTTTTTTGGAGGTGTAACTAAACTTTGCAAAGAGTAGCTTCAAAATGGGAGTTGTTYCCTCCCCAATATGGCCAAAGTGATTAACTCAGCCCACCAAAGTTTAATTGTGGGGGTGTTGCTAGAAGTAAGCTTTCCTCTTCAGCTTTCTGCTTTGGTTTTCTGAGAAGGAAATCAAATAATATTTTTCAGATTTTCACAGTAAGATGATGTAATTATTACCTAATTGTGTCTAAGCAAAAGTTTAGAGTGGGAAATGCAGATATTCATTCAACACTGGTTTGCTTAGTTCAGATGTGTTTTCAATTCTTCTTTTTACTTTTGTCCTACTTGGTTGCAAATGAGAGAATCTTCTTGCAATCTCATTGTTTGGTTACTGAAGTCCACCCTTTTATTTATTTCACTGTTTCAGYGTTTAAAAAATTGTAGGGAAGTACAGAAACAGTTTCTTTTTGTGTTGCTATACTTATAAGTTCCCTGAGAAACTTGGTTTGGAACTTAGTTATCGATGATTCCTCTTCCTCAAATGAAAACTAAAGTACCAAAGATACATATTTGATAACCAAGGCCTTAATGTCATACTGGAGAAGAGTATTTAATTTTCTGTCTTTAAAATCAGTCTGGATTGCTCAATAAGGCATGGATTTCCACACATGCACCTTGTGAAGTTCTGGTGCTCTGTGGTAGAAAGGTTTGTCTGTAGCATAGAAAATCCTTTTGGTGATTGACGGTGTGGTTTTAGAAGTGGCTCAAATGGAGCTGAATGGAGTTTGCAGATGAGAGTTGTAGTTCCAGCCCTTGCTCCCCTTCTCCTTCCCATCTTGGCAAACTGCTCTTTACAGCTGTCCTTGTTGGTCTGGCTGAGGATTCATCTSCAGGGTGGGTTTTTAGGTGAATCCCTGTGAGGTGTCTGGTGGCTCAGGGAATGTCCTTAGAATATGTGCAAGGAGGGAATGCTTTTTTGAAACTCAGCTGGGGAAATTCTGATGTTCCTGTAGAACATAAACATTAAGATTTGCTTTTTTTCAGATGCAAGTTAAATGTATGGTATTTTAATAGCTTTTGCTGAAACTGTACATGAGAATTAAGGACAAAGACATGGAATTGATTCTACTATGTTAAGGGATTGTTTAGAACAACAATTCAACTTTTCTTTGAGTTCCGCCTTAAAACTCAGTCTTGTGACTAAAGTTAATTCACAAATTACAGCTTTAGTTTTCCAGTATGTTTTTTACTTGTTAATGAGACAAAGGCAGATGAGGAATATTGTCAAAAATGCTAAAATACAAACCTGGGTGGACACTAATTAAAGATATGTAGGTTGTGATTCAAGTAGATTTAGCAGCATGTTGGTAGTGTTGGTGACAAATGATTCTTGCATGGAACTGCTAAGTAAGGCTCAAATGACAGGCTCACCTAGGAAGACTTAAGGAATCTTATTCAAACATAATGCATTATTTGATTCATTAGTAAAAAAACATATTTATTTAGTGAAAAAATACTATCAAGTACCTTGCTTGCCCAATGGATTTTTTGGCTGCATACAACCAGCCAGAATAAAAGGAAATTATAAAATTATTTGACCTTCTGGATTTTAGAAGGACTCTGCAGCAATCTAATTRGTCCATGTCACATTGGCAAATCCTGCTTTGGTACAGCTTGTGTTCCACCGTGGTTTTAAGTGCATGGGGAGCCTCATGGAARGGGAACAGACACAAACAAAGCCCACTGGAAGGAAGGTGATAAARGGAAGTAGACAGAGTAGCAAGTAGGTATTTCAGGTAAAGGTCAGAGATTGCTTGTGTGGGACAAATGGTGTTGGGATCAGTGGCATCCTGTAGTCCACAAGTCCAGGTGCTTTAACTTCAGGTTGCCTTGTACACACCTCACTCTCTGTACAGAAATTCCAAGTTGGCTTTTGAAGGTTAGGCTCTGCAGGAAGTTCATACAAGATGGGATACATTACTACAGTCAAGAAATTAGCTGGGACACTTTAGTTCCCCAGTGCCAAGAGTTTACCTGTACTGAGGGACAAGACAGGAAAAGGCCACCCAGTGTACCTCTGTAATTCGCGAGATAAAAGAAGAACATCTAAATAGCATGGAATTTTTTTCTGCCTCAGAACCTCTTGTTCAATCAAATTTATTTTGTGCGCAGTTCAAAGCATTCCAGTCCAGATATGGCAGCAATTATGGCAGCAGCTTCCGATTTAGGGGAAAGTGTTTCTGTTAAGCTATATGTTGCTGAGATAATTTGTGGATGATTGTGGAGTAGGTGTTGGTAATACACTGTTTAGTTAAAAGCATTGGATCCATTTCAGGATGAGCTGACAAACCTGTGCCATGCAAGTATTTCTTCATTGCTATAAATTGTTCTTAAAATCTATTCTGAGATGTTGGTTTTTTAGAGGTAATGTTTTTGAGCATTGGGGCAGTAGAGATAACCTTACATTGCTTTCCTTAATGCATTGTGGKTTGAGAAGTTCATTCATCACTTCATTAATGAGTTCACCTCCTAATGTATTCAGTTTCCTCCTGAAGTACTGCATCAGGTAATACTGGAAAGGAGTTGACCAACAGTTTAGGTGGCAAGTATGGGCTAAAGGGTAGAAAAACTAACCAAAGTTTTGAGGAAATCTACTTGCAGCCAGACACAGCACCTGAGCAGTGCTATGGACTGCATTGTGGCTGTGCTGGGAGGCAGTTCCACAGGCATTGTGCTTTTTCCAACAGATCTCGTGGTGGTGGCCTTGGTTCCCGCAGAAATAAAGAGCTGCCAACAGAACCCCCTTTCACAGCATATGTGGGAAATCTGCCCTTCAACACTGTCCAAGGAGACATAGATGCCATCTTCAAGGATCTCAGCATAAGGAGCGTTAGACTAGTCAGAGACAAGGAAACAGACAAATTTAAAGGTGAGTGGTCAGAGTTCTTCAGTGGAAGTTAAGTAACTGGTAGATGAAAAGGTAACTTTAATAGGAAATTTCAGTCTGAAGCACAGTTATTCTCTGCTTTTATGTTGACTTATGCAAGWTTTTTTATTCACTAATATGTAAATATATCATTTAAATGAGGGTCACTGTTCCATCACCTTGAGATACAGAGTAACCTGAGTCACGAGTCAGTATTTGCCCTGACTAAGAAGAACCTTCTCAAACCTTGTCGGGTATGAATTCTACCAGAGCTAACCCACCTAAGACCCAGACCTTAAGTACTGAGTAATTCTTTTACTTCAGAAGACTTCCATTGCTTCAGCTCTTTTTTTTTTTAGGGAGAAAAAGCAAGTAGATAACCCATTCAGGCAGTTGTTTTAGAGGATGCAAATTCAATTACTATGGGAATTGTCTGGTGGAAGTGGACTATATTTATAAGTTACTTTAAGGGATGGGAAAGGCTTACCTTGGGTAAAAGAGCTTTTGAAAAGGAGTAAGTCCACTAAATGATGTGATGACCCAAAATCACATTGCTGGCCACATAGGTATTTCAATTTCTTGTTTAAAAACACTAGGAACCATGTGTCGTTATTCAGCTGAATAAATATCTGAAGGTGTAGATCAGATCTAATCTACAATGAGAACTCTCTGGAAAAGGGAATTAGGTTCTTGGCATTCACAGAGTGCCCAGAGTTCTGTTTCAGGATTTACCCCATCATTAATAGGTGCAGGTAAATGTGATAATTAGTTTCTGAGCCATGTGCATCATACATCTTGCATTTGCACATCACAACTTGTGTTTAAAAGAGAAGGAAGCTATTCGCAGACATGCAGAAGTAGCTTCTTATATAGGCCTTTTAAAGTGTTATTAATTTGAGATTTGTTTCTTACAGGATTTTGTTACGTAGAGTTCGATGAGGTGGAGTCACTCAAGGAAGCTCTTACATACGATGGTGCAGTAAGTACACTTGTGATTGATTTGTGAAATCAAAGACAAGCATAAGTTTCCAACTCTTTGGCAGCCCTTGTGATGCATCCTGAACAGATTCTCCCCTTGATTTAACAGCTTTTGGGTGACCGATCACTCCGAGTGGACATAGCRGAAGGCAGGAAACAGGATAAAGGTGGCTTTGGCTTCAGAAAAGGTGGCGGGCCTGATGACAGAGGTGACTTCCATTTTTCTAAGTAGCTTCTTAATTATAATGGTTGTAGTTATGGCTTCTGGTGCTGACTAATGCTAAGACAAGGCATGCAAGTGAACATGAAGATAATATTGAAAGGAGAAATTTTGTATGTATATATGTACGCGTTTCTAACCTGCTGCTGCTGTCGCTCCTGAGGTGTCTGGAATTTAGCTGTGCTTTGTGTCCAAAGGCTGGACGTATTGTCACTCCTAGCCCAGGAAGTGAGACCAATACCCCTAATAATGTGTTGTGTCTTGCAGGGGACARTCATAAGCCAAACAGTCTGATCTGCTACTATTTTATGATGATGTATGAAAAGTGAGTAAGCACAAGTAGACAAGTGCTTATTTTGGACTGTCTTGTTTCAGTGTAAAAACGTTCTTGGCTGTAGTTGAAGGTTGGTTGAACCAGACTCACCAAAGGTTTTCATTGATTGTGTAGTAGAGAAACTTTTCTGACCACTTCTTCTTGGTTAACTTAAACTGACTGTTAGTTCCTGTGCAATGGAGCTTGGTAGTAGCTAAAGGAAAGAAYTTTCCAGCAGCATAACTTTGGATATTGAAGGACCGAAACATAGGTTTGGTATTCCCTTGYTCAGTTTTTCCCACAGCTTCAGACCTGAACACAATTGTGGCTTTTTTCCTAGGAATGGGAGGAGGTTCCCGAGAATCCAGAGGAGGTGGATGGGATTCCAGAGATGACTTCAATTCTGGTATCAGTATTAACAATTATACAGATAGGAAGCCTAAAAGGCACTGAAATGTTCTTACTTTCATTTGTCCCCATTACTGGTTTGATTGAATCTACTGTATGTGCCGACTTTGGACATCCATCAGCTGTGGTGGAATTCCTCGTGGGGAATCTTCCATTGCCTTGTAACAGAGGAAAGAGTCTTGATAGTATATTCTGTTAAGTGACCCTAAATGACAGAATTCTTGTCCAKATGTAGCTTATGGTGACTGTTTTAAGCATTTCTCAAACATAAAGTAAAAATAATTTCTGAATAGTAGCAGAAACAGACAGATCATATAAGAAAGCTGATATTTTGTCAGAGCAGAGGTTTTAATCTTCTCAAGGAGATGTGATGTCATTGTATGTGTCCCTAAAGTAACTGACTTCTCTAAAGTCAGATTAGTGTTCCAAAGCATTTGTAAATACAAAAATGCTAAAAGTTTCTGAACTTTTAGACCTGTTTTGGTAATGCAGCTGCAGCAAGTGACAGCTTTCTGAGCGGAAGGTAGTGACAGAGCCACCGGGTKTGCTCTTAACTTCCAGTCAGTTCCAGCTATTAGAATCCAGGGTGGCGTTAACACAATTGCTTTTGTCCTCTGAACTCATGGGTTTGGTCCRTTTTCTGATGGGGAGATGTTTGCAAGTGCAACTTCGCAATGTCTGTTCTCTGCGTGAGTGGAATGGACAGTGTAGCAGAAGCAAAGTGTGCCTTTGCCCTCAGCATGGGTTGGAGCATCGTGCTGGAGAGACGAGCTTGCTGCAGTGCTGTGCTTAGCTTGCCTTCRGAGCTAAGCGTTCTGTTTCACAGCTTCATACCTTCTTTAGCAGTTTCGTCAAATGTGGATGCATTTCAGMCTGTTAAATGTTGGATGAGTGATTTGTGAGCCAAAAGTTTAGCATTTCAGTCTTAGCTGCTACAGAAGCTTTTCTTCTCAGGTTGTTCAGCCTTGCTCTGGATCAAGTATTTAAAGATGGTTTGTTTGGCACTGAAGTAAGGGACAGCTCTGCAATTCTGCCAAATACTSAAGTGGAAAGGAAAATCTCAATTGGGAACCAAACAACTTTCTCTTACAGGCAGCTTCTGAAAATGAATGTATTCTCTTTCCATATCTTGTTAGCCTTAAGTATCCTCCTCCCAATGAATGCAGGCAGTGGGGGTTTGAAGAGATAGTCAAGGATAGTCACTGGTACAGACTGGAACTCTGGTCAGTGACAGGGTTTTTTTGGGTTGTTTGGTTTTTGTTTTTTTTTTTTGATCCATTAACTGAAGAAATGCAGTCAGTTTAAAGTCTGATTTTTTTTTTTCCCAACCCATTAATTAGTCTAGTAAATGCCGGGTCAGTTTATAGTACAGGTAAACGGCCCTGGGGTCTTACTCTGTTTTATAATGTATATTTCACTACTCCCCATCTATTTTCCCTGCTCTGCTCCTGCAGATTTCATGCTGTAGCCAGTGTGATGATCTGGCTATGTAAATACTCTTGAGTGCTTGTAGTGTTGTCTCTCAAGTCAGCTAATGGTGTTAACAAACTGAAGTTGCAGCTGAAGTTCATACTTTAAACTCACTTGACCCACTCCAATAATCCTCTAAGTGGATAAAGCTCTTTCTGAACTTTGCATAGTATACCTGGTTTCTAATGGAACCTGAACAACTCCTCCAGAAGGTGGTAGAGCTCTGTGAAACAATCTGTCTGCAGACAAAGGCTCTCTRTGCATCACCTTGGACTGACAGCGGTGACTAGCAAGGTTTTCCGGTCATCCAGATAAAAGTCTAGATGAAAAACATTGCAAAGTATGCTCGTTAAATTCACTGTCTTCCATCTTCAGGATTCAAAGATGATGACTTCTTGGGAGGTCGGGGTAGAGGAACCCGCCCTGGAGATCGGCGACCACCAGGTGCCTCCATGGGAAGTGGTGGCACAGGTCGCTTCAGAGATGGGCCTCCCCTTCGTGGGTCTTCCATGGACTTCAGAGAGCCAACAGAAGGTAAACTCTTACCTTGTGTGGTTTGGTCTTCCTTCACGAAGGAGACTCCTGCTGATGTTGTCAGGTTAAAGCTTCTGCTCTTTGGCAGTCAGATCTCACAAGCACAATGTTTTTCCTTTCAGAGGAAAGAGCACAGCGACCTCGACTCCAGCTCAAACCTCGAACAGTTGATACTCCTCTCAATCAAGTAGCCAATCCAAACTCTGCGATCTTTGGAGGAGCCAAGCCCCGGGAGGAAGTAGTAAAAGAGCACGACTGAGTTTGGGGTTGAGAGGGAATGGGGAGGCGGGAGAAAAAGCAAGACAGTACAGAGTGACTAGCTCTGCTGGAATGTCAACCCTGCAGTTTACCATTCCTGCCATCTGGTATTTGTCCTCTTTGAAACCGAAAACACAGAGCTTGTGAATGCATGTCAGCTGTTAACAAGTGGTTTTTAGTACGTTCTTGGCTTTGCTGTATCTAGTGCCTGCTTCGTGCTGAGTTTCCTCTTCTGTTTCCTTCCAAGCAGCACAGTTGCCAGTGATAAGGCAGTGTGGCTGCTTCCACAGGTGTGGAGGTCTCTGGACAAAGGTGCTGCTTCACTTCTTCCTTTCTGGGTTTGTTTTACTTTAGAAGCACAGGTTAGACTTAGTTACTTCCCTGTATCATTTCCTTTTACTTCCTCAGTGTTCCTCTTCTGACCTGCATGTCTCGTTCTGTATTGCTGTGGCTCTGAAGAGGAAAACTGAAGAGTCCAGATAAGTTGAACAGAAATTTACAGTTCTAACCGAGTAGTGAATTACCATTTATGGCTATTGGTGATGGTCACTGTTCACAGCAGAGCCCCTTRTTAAACTAAGGGGTGCAGCTGCCCTTTCACATGGGTTGCCAGGAAGATTAGTTTAATGGATGCCATGCCTGACAAGCCTGGTGAATAGCTGGTGGGATCAGTATGGATAAAGCCTCTGCCAGCAGCCTCTTCCTGCTGGCTCTTGACTTCCAAATGGTATGATGCTACTACACCTCTGAGCTCAAGGTTAGTGCTGCAAAGCCATGCCTGTTTGAGCACAACTGCTCACTGGCTCTTTCTGCTTACTTTTTTGGGTTTTACATGTTTGGTAAATTTTTAAATGAAGTTTCTACAAATAAAATTGACTTTTTTATTTTTGTTGAAGGAGTGTATACTTTGCCATGCAGTATTTGATCGTCACTATCTCTTGTATTTCTTTGCCTAGCTGGGTACAGTTTTAGGACTTCAGCTTTCAGAATACCTTGAAAATGGGCAGATTAGAAATCYTTCTGCTGTAGATTCTCATGTAGAAGTTTGGGTAAAAAAACATCTCTTGTTGCTGCACCTCTCTTCACTTGAAATGTTTATTGCCGGTGTTGTGTGGGAGGAGGGAGGGGAGGCTGAAGCAAAAATAGGAATCATTAATGTTTAAAACCAAAACCTGGTTCTACCACACCAATGTGTGGACGTGTCCAGTGCATGGGAAAAGCTTGGGCCCTTATTGCCAATGCTGAGAGCCTTCAGATAAACCAGCCAGCACCCCAGAATACTTGCAAGAGGAGGTTGGAAGCATGGCTGCCCCACTACCAGCACCACTGCTAGTGATGAATTTCTTCCYTAAGGTTCCCATTGTAAGTCAGAGTCCCAGCAATTTACAGAACTACTCTTTCCTTCTTTCTGCCTTTCACTTAATCTGCTTCTGAGATAAGAACCATTTGTCTAACACTAATACTTAATTTAAGACAGACATGCATTTGTGTGGTTGTATTCCAAACCAATAATTGATCTATTTACATCTTCAATGTGGAAAAGATTTTAAGAACAAATTCCCATATAAAAACTCACTTCTAGTCAAGACAGTTGACTTTTAAATGTAAAAATAAAGAAAAAAAAAAAGAAAATAATTCCAAACACTTAACACATTCTGCTTCATAACAAAATAAATTTATGGATATGGTATTTTGTGAATGATCTTTTAAATAAAAGAAAACATTAAGTAATATTTAACATTGGTCTTTATTTGAGTCTGCCATGTTTTTCCCCTCCTCAGTTTTCAAATATTGTGATAATTTGTCCTAAAGTCATTCTGATACAAAATAAGCGGGGGGGAAGAGGAAAAAATAAATCTAAAGAGTGCTGGAACAATAAAGTWAAAATTGTTTATGGGTGGARATGAGCCCAACTTCTTTGTCCTGTGGCTTTAGTATCACTTGAGTGCATTGCTAAGGTTGTGAGGTGGGATTTGGAATTCCTACAGTTTGCAGGTCTTGCAGCTCTTCAGGCTGTGCTCCTCAAGCCGGGTGTTGTGGCCCTGTGTCCAGCACCGGGCAGGATGTGCCCTTCCAGTGCGAGTACTGAGCATTGTCATTTGTTCTTTGTGCTGAGACAGTAAATGGATCAGCACTGCTGTCTTACCCACTTCCTCCAAAGTTTTCCAATTGACCTRTTTCCCACTAGGCATGGTGGTTAAGGAGGCAGTGTTGGCTTGTGGCTTTGAAGTGTATGCTTGCTGCAGGGTAAGTTGAAAGAGGCAGAGCCATGTTTTTATTGAGGAAATGAGCCCTGACCTCCCTGCTGGTTTTACTGCTTTCCATAGCCTGAAACAATGGGAAGTGTGCTTGCTTCCAACAATTCAGTCCMTCCTCTCTTTAGACCTTCTCTTACTACAGCTTGACAGTCCCAGTCCTGGTTGGGAACTGGTGCTGGAGCTGTGTGCCAGCACCTGGCTGTCCTGCCTGTCGGCTTGAGGTGTGTGGAAGAGCAGGGCTGGCTGGGATTTGGTCCCCTGCAGCTCTTGCCACAGCTTATCCACAACTGCTCTCAAACTGGTGCTGCTGAAGCAGGGATTTCATCACTGCACAGAAAAAAGGAATCCTGATAAGTGAGAGAGGTGGCATATGGCTCATCCTAGTTCTAGATGTCTTTTTCTGTATCTGCTAATAGTCATTTGGTCAAGGGCTTTAATGCAGCCTGATCCCAAAATCATTGTGTTGTCTGATTTTTTCAGTAATTTCTCATATGCAAAGATTCATACATTGCTTGGTTTCTTTAAAGCATTCCACACTGTGCTTCCCATGTGGCTCAGGGTGAGAGTCTTCCAGTCCATTTTCTTTCCCTCCTTCAGAAATTTAGTGGATGAACATTTTCCTATACAGAAGCTTATCAAACCAGCTTGTGTCAAGAGTTGACACAACTATTTAATATATGGATGTGGCATTTAAGTTTTGTGGGAGGAAGCAAGATTATTTTCTTCCCATCCCCCTGGCAAAAGCAGTTGAGGTTTAACCTGTAATGCTTAACTTGCAGCTTAAAGCTAAGCTTGGCATGGCAAAGCCCAGACTGAGAAGGTACCAGCAGTGTAGCAAAAGGATTGTTCACTGTGGCTATTCATGTTCTCACTGAGTTATTTCTAGTAGCTGTGCAGAGCTTTCTTCCAGCTTAAACTTRGTAAAATAAACAAAACTGAAGGCAGGAAGGCACCAGGCAGGTTTTGGAATTGAAACTGAGTTTGCTTTGCTACTGTAGGAAGTATTTTGCTGTATTTCTCCAGATTGGTTGCAGGTGGGGAAGTTGGGAGTCTAGAAGAGCTGTTGGACACTGCAGCAGTGAACACTAACATTTAATGTGCTGCAAAACTCTGCTGTCAATCACCAAAAAACAATCCCCACTGAGCTCCTCAATCCAGGAATGYCCCTGGGAGTGCTCATCCCAGTCCTCAGGGCAGCACCCAGTGCTGGCACAGGTGTGTTGCTGACTCGCTGGGCTGTGTGAGCCTGGAGCAACTTCTGAGGGGGGCTCTTTGTGCATGTGGCTATCACRGTTGTTATGGTGGTTGAAGCAAGAGTAGTGTTCACACACTCAAATTGTGGGCTGGTRATGGTAGAGTCACGTTAAATTCATGCCCTTGTGTGTGGCTTACTAGCCYTCCTAAAGCAGCAACAGCTTGTTCACCTGCTTCTGAAATGTGCTGCCTCAGAGTCTCCAGTGCTGACCATGAATTTCTGAAGTTGTGCAGGTGTCCCAGGGCTGATGGTCATTGTGGCCAAGCTTGCTGTCCCAAGCTTGCAGTTTTGGATAATGCTGATATTTTTAACTTGTTATAGTTTCAATCCTGACTTTAGCACATAGTCTAGTAGGAGCATTTGCTACCTGTAGTACTGGCTGCTGACTTGTCTTCAGAAAAGGTTACAAAATCGTGAGAATTTTGGAGCAAATCGTGTAATATTGCAACCCTTCCTCTTCATAGGAAAGATTTAGTACTAAAGCCAGCAAATTTTGGAATGCATATGCAATCTCTGCAGCCAGAGCATTGGTGTGTTGCAGCTTGTAGAGCAGCCCTTGCTCTGCTGCGTGCTTTGGACAGATCTGTTTGGAGTGACTTTGCTGKAATCCTCCTGTTCCCCTGGGTGTGTTTTGGACACAGGCTCTGTGTGTCAGGTTGGCTCCAAGGCATAGTCACAGGTTTTCTGTACTGACCCCATTCCCTCTCCATCCACAGTAGCTGTCTCATGGTTATTCATACAGCAAGAATGCAGGCAAGGAGCTGCTAATGTTGAGCATCCTGAAATCTGTTAAGTTTATGTTTTACATTCTGGTGGTTTCTGTTTCACTACCAGTCAAGTGCTCTGAAGGAACTGGGCCGCTCCCCTATCCCAGCATGTTCTACTGTAGAATCAGTCACCTTTGTAGTTCTCAAGGGCTTCTCTGCGATGGATTAGTGGGGTGCAATTTAGTTGGTGTTGTTCGTCTTAAATTTTTAGAAAGGGGAGTTTCTGTGATGTAAAAGAAATTTGATTTCCAGATAAGAGTGAAATTTCCTCATCTGATAGTTGACTCCCTCCTCTTAAATGCACTTTTCCCACTGCAGGAACAAAGTATATTAAAAGTAGCAGAGACACATCTTTTATTTGATGCATACATTTATTCTGTTGTTCATGAAGCACTTGCTATAGCRGTGTTAAACCAAATAGAAGCATTTAGGATGGTGTAATCATATTTTTGACCCTGCTTGCTGAAAGACTTTAATCCTTCAGTGCCAGACACTTGACTCTCAAGCCTGATGCACATTAGTAATAGCAATACCCTGATGACATTACATGTTCAGCGCCTCTTCTGTGCATTAGGGTCTGCAGGGAAGCTCTGCTGTTCTCCTGTGTCTGCTCACAGGAGCCTGACATGGACACAAGACATGAGCCATCAGGTTTTGGTGGCATGTGCGGTGTCACGTGTGCGTAGCATCAGCGTTATTAGGTCTGAGGTCGTGTTCCTCATCTTACTGTACCTGTTTGAGTGACTAAAGTATTTTCTGGTTTCCTTTTCCATTGTGGCAGTGACTCTTTTCTGTGACATCACCTGCTCACCAGCAGGTTCAGTGTGACATCWGCTTCCCTCATTTCTGTCCCCTCTGCAGCAAAGTGCATCCAAGGGCTTTGAGGACTTTCAGCACTGTTACAGGAACAACCCTCTTACCTGTGTGCTTACCAGTTCCTGTGTCAAGCTCTAGAGTATCCCAGGGTTGATGTTTTTGGGATGTTACTGCTGGGAATGCTGCCACCACCTTTCTGCCCAGTAGGTTTCAGCCAGGTTAGTGTTCCCCGTGGTCAGGATTTGCTTTCTACCACGAGATTGTTTTGTTCATGTCACCGTGCTCCCAAGATCTGCCTCTTTCTTTTAAATAAACCAAAAACTCACAAAGTACCTCTATAAACCCCTGCAAAATCTGTACTGTAACGAATCTGTATAATTTGTATTGCTGTAAAAAATTCAAATAAAAGCATTCAAACCTTCTAGGTTTTTGTCTTCAAACTTAAGAATTATTGTGTGTGCAATGATGAACCAAGCAGCAGAAGAACAGAAAGCTTTGTGGCTCCATAGGGATGTTCAGGATTAGTATTTGCGAAGTTTACCTGGCCAAAGTTTTGTGAAGCTCCCAGGGATACTGGCTGTGAGCTGACTTTCCACTGGGTTGTAGCAGCATTTATTTTCCTTCAGCAGGGAACAGAACCACTTTCAGTTTCAGCTCGGAGTCATCCAACAAGCAGCTGGGGCAGGGGAGGAGGCAGCATTTCCCCTTTGCCTGGGAAAAGGCTCATTCCACTACAGCAGAGAGAAAAGCTGTTTCTAGGCAGCACTAYTTCACATCAGAAAATTTCCTCCAAGATGTGGCCTGCATTAAAGCTGCTGTGAAAATTTTGCTARACAGATGGAATGCATTGTAATCCCAATTAGTGGTTGGCATGAGACACGTGCTCATCCTGTCTCAAAGCATGAGGGGCTTGGTGCTGGTGCACAGCAATGCTTGACTCAGCTGGTGAGCTTGGAGCCTAATGGAACTTGGAAAACATGTTGGAGCTTTCTCAAACCTTCCAGCATTGGGTGTGTTTATGCAGAAGGTGAGGTTTAGATGTTGCCCTGCTTCCCAGTCCTTRTTTCACTGCTAATTTTTGATCTGTGTTAGTCACAACACCTGGTTCAAGCAAAGTTAGCTGGTCTTTGAGCAGCCCCCACCTTCAGCAAAAAGAATGCAAACCAGCCCTAAGGGGATTTGGCTTGCCAGGGCTCAGGTAAGCTGGGCAGGGTGGAAGATGGGTTCTGATGAGCCCTCTGGACCGATGAGATCTCTCTGCAGCTAGTCAGCTTGGTATCAAAAGGTGAATAAGTGGGTTAGGTTAGCTGGTGAGCCTGCCTGAAGGAGTAGGAATTATGCGTTTGTTATGGGGGAAAACAAACCCAAGCTGAAATGGGTGAGCTTTGAAAACAACATGAAAGGTGAAATTACAATGTGGTGTTTCTATAATTTATAACAGTGGATTAAGAAAATGCTGCTCCTGTGTCTTTGGCCTTTTGTCAAATCAGAAATGGTTTCTAGCAGCAGGTCGCAATGAGGCAGAGGGGTTACAGGAGGGAGGGGACAGATAAAGGCAGAGCCTGTTTTCCCAAGCTGGGTTTGGTACCTGAGGGGTCATTTTGTGTGTGTTGGAGAGGGYTTGGTCTGGCCTCACAAAGAGCAGAACCCATGGCTGTGCTGGAAAGTGCTTGGAGTGAGTACTCATCCTACATCTTTACATCCAATCCTTCTTARGAGAAATATGAAGGGAAATAGGAGCCACGCAGAGGTGTGTGCTGCTGCAGTAATTTAACCAAGGTGGTTGGCCTCTCCAGAGGACTGATGSCTTTGAAGGGCATCACTCTGCCCAAGAGCTGTTACATCACATGAGTGACTCTCCTGCATTGCTCCTTGGGCACAGGAGCAGCTTCTGCCTGCTCTGGAGGGGCTCAGTGGTCCATCAGGGGACAGTTTGGGGACTAACACGAGGTGCAGCCCAAGCCAGCCAGGGTAACATCCACGCCGTGGCAGTGAGGCATCCCTGAAGCTGTGAGACCCACCAGAGAACCTCTAAACAAACACGTACCACTTTTTAGCAGTGGCTGTTCCTGATGAAATTGATTTTGGGTACAAAAGATGAACTTTAAATGTCYCCAGCATATTCAGAGTATCAGTTCTGCTATAAATAACTCTTTTGCGAAATTTCRATAGTCAGCTTATGTTTGAACACATAAAAGCCCTGCTAGGAAGCTGTTAATAACCTMCTTAATCACTAAGACTTCTGCTAGAAATGCAGATTTTGTAGCAACTCTTGTGGCAGTGAAGGAAACAGTTCACATTTTGCAATGTCCTTTACACAGAGACCACCCAGAAACCATGTGAGCAATTCAAAGCTGTCTCCCTCTTTTAATCTTTGGTTCAGATTATACTGATTTCATGATAGCCTTCAGCACCTGGATTTTGTCTGGGAATGGCTCTGGAACGTGCATTATTTTTGCATCTCAGGTTAGAATTGGAAGAGAGAAAGTCCATTTGCACATACAGAGGTTAATTATCTTATTGAAGCAATGTTTCCTCTGAAAGCTTGATAGCTAGATTTCATCCCAGAGTTGCAAAAATTGTAACCACTTGTCTCCTTAATAATTTTTGTGATAGAAGAGTCACCTTCTCACACAGAGAGCTGGGTGTAGGTGGCTGGTTGTGGCAGCTTCACAGTGCCCTAATTTAAATATAACGAAATTTCCCTTTACTGAATCATTYACATGTGAGAGGCTTTGTAAGAGCYGTAGTGAGAGCATCATGAAACATTTTGTTTGTGGTTGTAACTCATGTGCCTCGTGGCTCTTGCACTGTTGTTGCACAATTACACATTAATGTGTGTGTGCAGACTTCCCTCGTGCTGGAGCAGGACCCCTCTTTCATTGACTGTGACAGGGCTCTGAGCCAGTACATAAATTCCCTATTATTCATGAACCACCTTATTCTATTCAAGCACCAAAGAGCTGAGCAATTACTTTTTTTTTTTTTTTTTTTTTAAGTGCAGTGAAATTGTGCCTGCTGTGTGCCAACTGCCAATGCTGAAGCAAAAGAACTGATTTATTCTTACAGCGCTGGACAGGAGCTCCAGGTTTGGCCATTAGCAATGGTGACCTCGGGATATTTGCTGCCTTTGAAATTTCATATTTGCTGCCTTTGAAATTTCATACCTTTTCCATAAAAACTAAGAGAGGACTTGCATTTTGCTGTGCTTGTTTGAGATTCTCCAGGCAGCACCCGCTGCGCGGTGCTGTTCCTGTGAAAGCTCTTTGCACAAGGAAGCCTGACCTTTTTTGGGGCACCAGCCCCATCTGAACCTCCAGGGAAGTGACCTCAGTGCTGTGTGTGGTTCCACATTGTCCAAGTCCCCTTCCTCTCCCTGCAGAGACAAAGTGACCCGAGTGGGTTTGAGCAGGCGGTGTCCCCCAGGAGCCACGAGGGGGGCGGATGTTGGGGTTTGTGATTCACAAGGGGACAGGAAACCAGCAACAGCTAACGAGCCCTGGAGGAACTGGCTCTAGCTGCAGCCAGAGGGGCAGGAGGAGATGGAACACATCGGGGACAGCGGCTGAGCCTGTGGGGTAAGCTGAAGGAGAAAAGCATGGGGAAAGCGTCCGGAGGTGCTTGGGGCTCCTATGGGGACARTGGGGTGTCCCACTGAGCTCAGAGATCCTGGTTAGACATTGGGGATCTTTTAAAGAAATTCAAGGTCACCCGTGTTAGACCTCTCTGGAAAGGAACATGGTGGATGTTCCCACCTCACTGCTGCTCCTGGCCATCACCAGCTCTAAGGTAGGAATTACCAACTCTCTCTTCTCAGCAGCATCTGAACCCCTCTGAACTTGAGATGAGTCCATCCCACACAACCTGGATTGCCTGTTTTACAGTACTGTTCTTTACATCTCCTCGTCCATCTGCTGATGGAAGTGTGGGTTTAATTACATTATTTCTGCATTCACATCTTCTAAAATATACTGGAAGATTCAATCTGTGCTGAGTTTCCCTCATCCCTGCATGGTCCTTTTTCTGGTTCCTGCCTGTAGCTTCTGGGACTGCTGCAGCCCACGCTGCTCCCCCWCCAAAGCCCAGTCCTTAAAAATAGCTGATTTAAACAACACTTCCTGGTTTTTCCATTGATTTTATGGCTGACTGGCCTYATGGATATGAATGTATTTATTTTACTACATGTAAGTGCTTGAAATTGCTAATTCTAGATGGAAAGAGATTTGTCTTTGCATAAGCTTTCTCTTGTGTGATCAATGTTCAGCGTAATATGGGCCATGAGGCAGATAATTCAGCAGAACAGGATGGTTTTGGGATAATCTTGTGTGGAATTGCCTCATTTTTGTGGTTTTGGAGCATGTAGTTACACAGGGGTTGCTAACATGGCATCCTCTGGGCTCCCAGTGGAARTGAATAATGCCGTGGGGCTTCAGTGCTGCCTGGAACAGGGGAAGTTGCAAATGCAAGATATGTCTGAGAGTTACTTTCTTGTGCTGCCATGCCTGTTGTGATTAAGGTTTTGCATTGTATTTTCCACCAAAATGCATTAAAGCATTTTCCAAAGTTATAATCTATGTGAAAGCTGGTTTATCAATTCTAATTTCCCCCTCTTATCATATGTTCTACTGAAATGCATCTGTTGGCATAAAAGTGTGATCTGCCTGAATAGCTGTAAAAACCTGTAACTCTATGACAACAGCTTTGCTAAGAAGCCTGACACTCCCATAAATCTGGAAAGGGGAAAGGAGATAGGAAAGGGGATGCAGACCTCTGGAAAGGAGCTTGTCTGGAGGCTCAGTGCTGGTCAYTGAAGTGGTTCCAGCCACAGGAGCTTCCTTGGTCTGAGACTTTAATTTCTGAATTGATGGGACTTTCTGTGGCAATCTGTGAAAACGGAAAGTGGAGTTACTTTTCTTAGATATGTTAGAGACATTGAGTCAAGCTGAATATTGCATCTGTTCAACAAGTCAGTGTGCTGAATTTCATATGGCAAGACTTTAAATACACTCTCCACTTCATATTTTATACCAGTGACTCATCCTACCAGCCTGAATTAGAATTAATTTACTGCAAACTGGTGCAGACCACAAAACTTTCTGGAGGGGAAAGGAGGTGACTGGTTTATATTTGCCTTTGAGGCATTTTTTGATAAATAGATAGAATACATAATATAAATACATTCTTTTAGTCTTTATCTTGCAGTGTGAATTCAGGGGTGGGCTTGACATCTGCAAAGGCTTAAAATGTCTTAATCAGAAATTATCTCATGGAAAACCAGGCTTTGCTGAGGCCACATCAACACATTCCTCACTGTCCTTTTTCCTCAGCAAAAAGTTAAAGTTCASTTTAAGTGCTCTTGCAGGTTGTTTTTAGTGAGCTTCATGCCTCCTCTGATGCTTTTGGAAAGTTCTTCCAGACTTTCCATCTATTAGGAATTTTATTTCTAGCCTGTGCATATACATCTTTTATCCTCTAATTTAAAAGCCAGAATTGTCTTATTACAATTCAAAAGTTTTTCTCACTTTATAATGCTGCTCTTGGRCAGATGGACAGTGAGCATCCATGTGCTCTTACTGTACATTTCAGTGGAATTAAAAGCAGGAGACCTTTTAGTCTTCCTGGATAAAACCACCCCTCTTTCCCTTGGATCTTCATAGTGAGCCTTGTACTGGGGTGAATCCTTAAAATAGGACTGACAAGACTTGGCACAGAGTGGATAAAMTTTTCCAAGTTCATTAATTCTTCCCTTTTTTTTCTTTACTAAGAAAAACCCTGTCTCCTTGATTGCTAAAAATATCTGAGGCCAGAGAAGGAGCAGCCCCTGTTTGGGAAGAGGAGCTCCCCCTCTGAAGGAGACCACAGCTGTATCCAGACTCCAGCGTGTTGCTCTCCTGGGAATTGCCTGTCTGGAGCAGCTGATCCCAGGGGATTTGTGGGGTCATGGTGCTCAGGGTGTGCTATGGCCCCACTGTCCTCCTCAGTACAAAAAAGGGAAAAACAGGCAAAAGGAGAAGAGAGAAGTGTGTGAACAGAACAGGGAATTGCGACACTATGCGAGTGTCACTCCTAAACTAGATGGGAACCTGTTTTGGCCCCGAGTTTGGGTTTAGCATCTTGAAAGCAGGGCTGGCCATCCATGACCTCCACGTGTCCTTCTGTGCAGAGACCTCCATGGCTCGAGTCTGTTCTCCTTTCTGACTCCCCAAGGCAGAGTGCAGGGAAGCACGTTCAGCCTTCCAAATATTTTATTTATATCCTGCCAGCCGTGAGTAAGTGCTTCCAGCCTTCTGCTTGTCATAAATCTGTTCATCACCTCCTTCTGTCAGCTCCTTACCAGAGCAGGACTTGTACAAAAAAAAAAGAAAAAAGGGTTTTCTATGGACTTGGATATTGGGGGAGCACTAATTATCTCCAGGCTGGCGGTGTGTGTGTGACTTGGGGGCTTTCTCGGGGAATAAAGCTGTGAAGGGGTGGGACACATCATGCCCTGTTCAYCAGCCCCTCAAATAACCACCTTTTGTGTCCCTGGTGAGCTCCCGAGGAGCTCAGGGGCTCCTGGGGCTCAGGAGCAGCCAGGTTTTGCTGCCTCACTGCCCATAACTGAAACAAAACTATCTCTGGAAGAGAGAAGGTAGCTTGCCATGCAAAGGGACAAATTAGGTCAGTGTAGTAAGGTGCCTTCAGCTCTGCCTTGCCTTCACTTTAAAGAAAAAAAAAAAAAGAGAGGAAAACAAAGAAAAAAAAGCCAGAAAACCCACAAATAAAGCAGCAGCATTGCAGCCCTTTTTATTTTGTTCATTAGTATTGGGCTAACTTCCCTCGGCTGCCTCTGGAGATGCTTTAGAAAAGATCCACAGCTCAATATTTCCATGTGCGATGCTGAGCAAAGGAAAAATGATGGGAGAAACCACATGATTTCGACCAGGCTCTGTTGGGTTCTGGTCTGCCCCTCTGGGGTGGGTCCATGGAGGTCTGGGGATGTAAATTTAGAGCAACTTGTCTCATCTTCTTCAGAAAATGCTGCAAAAAACTGTGCAGGGAAAGAGAGGCTTCTGGGGTTCTCTAAAGCACAAAGCCATGGTGGAGTGAGTGTTGGAAACTGTCAGGTTCTGGAGAGCCCAAGGAACCTGGAACAGGACAGGAATAAACCCAGTTTGTTCCCAAGCAGAGGGTGTTCTCAAAGCCACATTAGGGTCACTTTTGGGCTCTCAAACTGCTTTGGGAACTGCTGAGAGGATGCCGACACCAAACCCCTTCAGCCATTGCTCCCTGCTTTGCTCAGGTTTCTGTCAGAGTGGAAATGAGGGAGTTTCCTTCCTCTCCTTTCCCTGCCCCATGCTTATTTTCACCATGCCTTGATAATTACGACCCTTGCAAAGGACTGAGGCTTCAATGCCAAATTGGAGCACAAACCTCCCACCAACACGTTCAGCTGCTGTGCCAAGTGCCTGGCAGGGACAGGAGGATATTGTTCAGCCCCCACAGGCTCAGGCTTTGGGCTTTCTCTGATGTGAACAGGCTGTCAGAGAAACTTTCAAACTTCTGCAGAGTTTGGGCAGAGAAGCATTGTTTATTCCACTTTAATCAAGCAGAGGCAGCAGGTGCTGAGCAGGGCAGAATCAAGCTGCTTTCTGTCATCTGCTACTGATGTGTTTCATTATTTTAATAATCAATTGTTATATCTTTCCTCCTCCATTCTCCAACACAACCCAGACTTATGTTGTAATGAGAGAAGTTGAAGGTAGACAGCAGAAAAGCTTCCTGCCAGCCAGAGTGATGGCATAATRGCCTTTGGCAAGTTGAAATGTCTCCATCCCTAGGAAAAAAATGAAGTTTATTAAAACCAAAATAAATTAAAATAAGCTGCAGCCAATGAAAATCTGGCCTTGGGGAATAGGAAGGGGCTGAACAATCCATCTCAGTGCCAGCAGGGTGCTTTCTRTGGTATTTATAAGATTTGTATTTTAAAGGAAGAAGTTGAAGCCAAATCAWGCTGATTGTTAAAAAATGTTATCTGCTGTTTGTGGAAAAGCCTGTCATGGAAAGGAGGGGATGAGTTGGTGGCTGAGCCAGCTCAATRCAGAAAAAATCCTGGGGAATTTAACAGTGGAAGTCACTCTGAGCTTCAGGAAAGAGCCAAAGCACATTGTGCAAAGKTCTTGACTGTTTTAATATTACCAAGTGCCTCCCTTTTGCCCTCTCTTCTAGATAATAAAAAATTACTGTCTGCTGACAGCGTTCAGTGGCAGCAGTGTGGGTTTGGGGGTTGGGAATGAGTAATTCAGAGCAGTACGGGAAAGGGCATTGCCCTCTGGTCCTGTCATATAACCCAAAAGTCCCTTCTTGCATCCTCCATGGGGGTGTGAGGGCAAACAGCAGGTGCCTCTTTGGATGCAGGAGCTCTCTGAGGGACAATCTCACAGCCCTGTGTGTCCCACAGCTCACAGAGTCCCCTTTCCTGTGTTCCAGGCTGGATTTGGCCGGGCCATGGTGCAGCCAGAGCTGTGGGCGGCTGCGGTGCTGATGCTGCTCGGGGCGGCCATCAGCCTCTGCGTCAAGTGCCAGCTCTCTGGTGAGTCCTGCCCGCGGGTTCAGGCTCCTGCCACTGCTCTGGATGGGCTTTACTCCTGGAATGACCCCTCGGTGTGGATTTGGCTGTGCTCGGCCGTGTGCCAGCTTTGCTGTTGCTGGGATGTTCCCACAGCTTGAGCGGGGAAGGGAGAGCTGGGCAGGAAGGGGCACCTGAAACTTCAGCACCCCTTCCCTGGGTGGGGGTGATACTGGGGCTGCTCTACGTGCTCATCGTGGTGGGTGGCTTTGGGACATCCAGCCCCAGTTACACAAATCCTCAGAGGGTCTGGGACAGGAGRAGGGCAAGGCATGGAAGAATAAATTAATACAGAGAGTAGGGTGARCACCCAGTGGGGCTTGAGCCCCTCTCTGAGCACTGGGTGGGTTTTAGTGGGGGAGAGACTGGAGTTTGGGGTTTGGGGACAGGACTGGCTGCTTTGCTTTGTGGGGTTTGAGACAAAAAAAAACCCACAATTTAAGCATGGTTTCAAAAAATTTCATCTAAACCCTACTGCGATTGCTGCTTGCTGCTTCCGCTGTCCTGAARTGCTGAAGAAATTTTGTCAATGTGCTTTATTGGCCTTTCTGTTTTCCAACTCCCAAGCCATCCTTTCTAAGAGCTTTTTGTTCTCTTGTCTTCCAGCTACCAAACGGGGGACACAGCTGAATGAGCAGAGGAACCAGTAAGTTGCCTTTCCCAGTTTTGTTTCTTACTTAAACAACTCAGCCAGACCAAGCTGAAATCTGGGTTTATATAAAATAAAATAATGCCAGGATGGGGTGTGCAAGGTAGCGTGCCCCAGCCCAAGATGCTGTTGAAAGGGCAATGCCTTTACAAAGAATAATCCAAAGTGAAATTGAAGCTCAGTCAGTGAATCATTAATTGGAAAAAGATCTGAAATAGAGGGGCAAGTTCTTATCCTGTCCAGTTGTGTCCTGAGATGAGATAGAAAGGTTGGTTACTTCATAAAGAAGCCCCTGCCCTTGGCTGGTGTTGGTGGGACCCTATACCAGAGCAACCACTGCCCTGCAGCACAAGAAGTGAAGGAAATGCGGTGTTACACACATGCACCTCCCCTCATTTCCTTCAGCAACAGGCAAACCACAGTAAATTATATTAAAAAAGGAAAAGTTGGGTTGTACACTTTGTTAAAGGAGCAAATGAGGTGCAATGGGGCTTTGCAAAGGCCTCCAAGGGGTTTGGGGTGCTTGTTTCTGTGGGTAAAAGCTCCAGAGTGATCCCTGCAGAYCGATGGAGCAGCCACTGAAGGCTCAGTCCCCCACAGCCCCTCATGGGCTCCTGCTGAATTGTCCCAACTTCTTGAAATTTATACCTGGGTTAAATGGTTTGACTTCAGGTTCATGGTGGTGTGTGCTCTTTTTAGACGTGTGGATTGGGTGTCTTGCAAGCAAAGTTTGGGTCTTTTGACACCTCTCCTGCCAGGCCTGTGCCATGAATCCTGACTGGGAATGGGGTGACCCTGATGCAAAAGGGGGAAATGTTCCCAAAATTCGAGTCAAAAAGCGCCTGTGTAGAAACACCGGCAGTAGAAAATGTTTTGAATCCTCTTGTGCTCTGAAAAGTAGCTCTTCTATTAACTAAAACATAAAGAGATTACTGGTCATGGGTGTTATTTTTATCATTGACAACATTATTTTATTCATGTTGATGTTTGGGGGTGCTGGGAGGGACAGAGGCAGCAGTGGAGGTGAAGCAGTGGGKTTTGAAGCCATTTCATGTGTGAACATCCACTTTTTTTGTGCATAAAAAGGCTCTTCTGGCCTTTGGTGGCTGAAGCGTCAGAATGGGAATTATCTAAATAGTGTTTTCCTCATCCCTGGATCATTCCTTAGCTGATATTGGCTGCTCTACCAGTGGTACAAAAACACATCTTTAAAGGATCAAAGTGTCCAGGAAGATGCTCCCAGCTCATATGGGATGACACACTGAGCAATGCAGCTTGGCATGCCACAGAGCCCAACGTGGTGCTCTCTGCCATCCACTCACCAAACASTCAGGTCTCTTGGATCTCTTTTCCTTGTCATAAACCCCAAAATCAGCTGAGGCTGTACTTCCATTTTTTCCAGGCTCGAAAGCCAGCGGCGRTTTGAGGTGATTCGATCCCGTAGCAGTGAGTATGAGCATTGCATGTGGCTTCTGTCCTGTGCTGTGGGGGTCCTGTATGCATAGAACAGGGGGAAAGTAAAATTCAAAGAGTCACCTTGAAGACAGGCCATGAAATTATGAGACCTGGATTGTCAAAGGCAGCTTAGATGCTCTTAGGGAATTCTGAGTGCTAGGAGAAAAACATCCTTTGCCTTGAAAATAATTCACTAAAGTGATGTTGTTGAAAAGTGACACCTCAACTACTGGGGCTCTTGGAACCATACTGTGCACCCTGTGAAAATGAAAGTGTGGGTGACAGGAGTGACTCATTCATCATCCCCCCTCGCTGCTTCCTACAGCAGGTTGCATTCAGCACTGACCTTTTGAGTTTTRTATCACAATGGGCAGCTGCCAGGTSCTGGTGGAATGTGTCCMTCTKCAGATGGCTCTGCCCTGCYCTGGGACTCTGCTGGGTCCAAGCCYCTTAACMTCTTTACAAGTCTCTGTTTCATCCCAGCCCAACAAAAGCTCTCGACTGCACCTCATAATGTGGAGGGAGGGGAATGGTCCCCAAATTGAGTGGTTTTGGGGGACAACAGGTGACAAGGCAGGGGCTGGGATTTTAGCTTCCTCTGCTGAGTGTCTGCAAGCTCTGTGGTCAGCAAGGACACCAGCTTTTCCTCTAGTTGTTTCCTGTTTTGACCATTTTTGAGCATTCAAGGAGCAATTTGGAAGCTATTTTAGGATGCATTAGGAAAATGCTTGGCAGTCTTGGGGATTCCTCTCTGATGCATATTCTGTGTTTTTTGAAAAATCTGCTGCTGCCATAAAAATTAACATGATAATTTTGTTGTTGYTGCCAGCTGCAATCCGAAGGCTGGAAAAAATTAAGGAACCTGAAAACTTATCAATAGCAAGGTACGTAAAAAACCCAGGTAAAATCTAGCTCCAGAGCCAAGGTTGGATGAAGCTCACCCAACATACATGAACATTTGGGATTGCATCGTGGGCCCTACAGATGTGGCTTGGGCTGTATTTAGAATCCAAGAATAGTTTGGGTTGCAAGGGACCTTTYAAGGTCATCTAGTCCAACTCCCCTGTGAGGAGSAGGGACATCTTCAACTCAATCAGATTGCTTCATTTATTGATGGTCAATAGTATGTTTACACCTTTTCTGGATTTTCTTCAGTCTGGCTACATTCTTCTGGCAWCTGATTAAATTAAACCCAAGGAAGTGAGCTGTGGCTGTACATAATAAATACATCATGGAAAAGAAATTATCATTATTCACTTATAAGCAGTTTGATGTGATAAATCCCCTTCTCCCCATCACTAAAACCCCCAGGAACACAGCCAAGATAACTCTGCTGCAATATTCAAGCATAGTTATTCCCATCTTGGGATTTTACCTCAAATTCTTCATCTCCTCTTGCTCCATGCGTGTGCTTGATAATCTCACAGGGAGGTCTCATGGATGGTCCTTCTGATGGTATGCAATTGCTGATAGGGTTTGTTCAGATCTGGGATTTTAGGTCTCTTTTTTCTGTTTCAGGAAAGCCAGCGATGAGCTCAGTGCTTCCTGTCACAYTGGATATGGTGAGCAGYTTCYTGGGAYAGGCACAGTTTCAAWGAATCACAGGATCACAGAATGGTTTGGGTTGGAAGGGACCTTAAAGAYCATCTCCTTCCAACCCTCTGCCATGGGCAGGGACACCTTCCACTAGCCCAGGTTGCTCCAAGCCTTRTCCAGCCTGGCCTTGGACATTTCCAACGATGGASCAGCCATGGTTGCTCTAGGCAGCCTGTGCYRGRGCCTCACCACCCTMACAGGGAAAAATCTCWTCCCAGTATCCCATCTAAYCYTGTCCTCTGTCAGTGGAAAGTCATTCCCCCTTGTCCTGCCACTCCCAGTCCTTTATCAAAGTCTCTTTCCCTTTTAGCCACTGGAAGAGTCTCCAATGTCTCCCCAGAGTCTTCTCTTTTCCAGGCTGAATAACYCCAGYTTTCCCAGCCTATCTCCMGAGCAGAGATRTTCCAGCMCTTGGAGCATCTTTGTGTGCTCACCTGGATTTGCTCCAASAGGTCCACATCCATCTTAATTTGGGTCTGTCCTGGGTGTGAGTTTAAGGTTCAGTGCTTGTCCTGCTCTGGCTGACCAGTCCTGGTTATAGCCATAGGCAKAGATGGTTTAAATATCACCTCTGGMTGYCCCAATTCCTGTACCCTGGAGTGTCCAACCTTGCAGCYGTGTCCCCTGACCTCAGAGCTGAGTGGGGATAGAGCTGCTGGTCTGAAAATACTCGGTGTCTCTATTGTTGAGCTGCTCCCATCACTCAGCTTGAGTTCATGTGTAATGTGCCCCTCTCTTGTCCCCAGGGAGCAGGGACGAGTCCAGGTACCAGAATTTCCTGTCAGGTAAATGCTGCAGCCACATATCTGGGGGTTTGGGAAGGAAATCTGCTGAGGGGATGGGAGGTCCCAGGGGATGGGAGTGGCAGGGAGTGCACAGGCAGCCAGCATCACAGCTGGCAGAGCTCTGGCTCAGTCAATTTAGAGATTGCTTTGTAAGGCACACACTGATCTGATTACCAGCACAGCGGAGGGGGATGGARTCCCCGCTGCCTCCCAGGGCAGTGTGAGCTGGCGCTTGCCCTAAGAGGATTACTGATGTGTGGGGCTGTGCTCTCCCTTCYCAAGCTGGGGAGGATGTTCCCCATCTCCCTGCCAGCTGGCAGGATGTGTCCATGAGAATCAGTGAGCCGGGGTTTTCTCAGGACCTGGGCTGGATCAGGGCTGTCTCCCCCTGCTTCAGCCACCTGGCTCTGCTGTGGATGGGCTTGGGGRCTGTGCCAGGGCTTTGTGGCTGCTGGGGACATCAGCTATGGCTGAGCTGCAGGGTTTGTCTGGCTGAGCTCAGGGAGGGCTGATTGGGTTGATGCCATGGTGTTGTGCTGACAGCAAACCCTTTTTCTTGCAGAGAGCTGCCTGCAAGAAGATGCTGCCTATGTGTAAGTACCCGGTGCTGCTGCCAGCATGGTTGAGTGAAGCCCTGCTGGTCCCAGTGCTGTCCTGGTGCTCCCACAGCCCCTGGAAGGCCTGTGCCAGGCAGGAAGTTCTGACTGTGCTGCTCTTCTCACAGGGAGCCCATATCTCTGGATAACTATTACAACTGCACCAGGTTCTTCACTCCACCCCGTGATCCGTCTCCAGGCAAGCGAGGTGGGTTCCTTCTCCAGCCTGGCTGTGTCATGGCTACAGGGAGCTCATGAGACTGCTCTTGCCCAGGTCTGTGCATCGCTGTGTACAGCCTGAAGCAAGGAGGGTCCAAGAGACACATTGGTTAAAAGGGTGTAGCAGAGCTGTAGGACTTGAGGTGTCACCTAAACTGCAGAAAAAACAAAAACTCTCTGACAACATTTTACTGTTAGAAAGTCAAGGGCATTACTTTATTTTCTGGCCAGGATGTTGTTCTGGCCAGGATGTGCCACAGAAATAATTTTGTCTACACATAGCCCGGGTGTATAGGGAAAATCATTCTAGGACAGATCAATTTTACAAGATTTTTCCCCAAACTTTATACAGTCAAAACCCATAGARCTTTATTGGTTTAATGTTCATTGGTTCTATGTTTTGCAGTTCTCAGTAWTWGGGTTCCTATTGGATCTGGATCTCTGATGCTAATTAGGTCCTCCTTTTTATCTTTTTCCTAGACCAGGGGTGATGTTCGGGGCTGATGTTCAATTAAGGGTCGTTGATAGTTTTTGATGGCCACTGATGGTCACTGATGGTCCTTATCTTTTGTCTTACTCCTGATCTATTGAGATGTTACCTTCATCAGGGCTCACCTGGTGGAACAGTGCCCTGGAAAGAAAGTTTAACACCCTTCCCCCAGGGCAAAGGCAAACAGGATCTTTGACAGAAGTTATATAAAAAATTTTTTAAACTGGTATATTTTCTAACAAAGGGATGTCCAAGCCCCCATCAGTCCATGTGTTGCCTATAAACAGAACAGCCCAAAACCACTGGTGATGGTGCTCCTGTGGCAGTGAACACCTGATTCCACTGCACTGGGATACCCCRTCACTGGGTCAGCACAGGGCGTCACAAAGACTAACAATTTTTTAGCTAATATACACTTCATTGTGGGAAACAGTCCCCTCCTGCAGGTGCTGAGGGATCTTCCCAGGTCACTTACACTTCCTTAGATCCTTTGTCACTCCTCTTTCTTCTCTCCATCAGAGAAAGATGATGACACCAATTCCTATGAAAATGTTACTATTGGAGCGCCTCAGGGYTCCGATCCAGGTAAATGTATTGCTGTCATGGTTCATGTGTGTCACACAAAGTGCAGAGAGGGACAGTGACCTGCTTAGCTGAGAAAAATCCACTTGTTCGCTGCTCAGCTCTTCCCACCAGCTCTATGCTATGGAACTGGAGCGCAGGGGCTGCTGCATGCACAGAGCAGGCCTGGAGCATTTCCCCTTTCCCAGAAAAATGCACGTTGTGACACATCCATCCTGATCCCTCTGACTTGATTGTTTCTGCAGCTTTTGGTGTCTGTATCTACGTTTTTAGTGTTGATACAGCCAGGTTAAACATGGTTCTAGTCCCTAGCTCAGGTTTCTCACCATATCCAGCACAAGAAGGCTGYAGCCAGGAAGCTTCTGCTGGATGACACAGGACCACAGTGTCACTTCAGCACTTCCAACTCAGTCCTGGGATGTTGCAGTCAAAATAGGAACTTAGTTTGGTTTCCTTCTGTGAGTTAACACATGCTTTCCACACTGCTAAACCCACCCTGCTCCTGCCTGGCTTTGTCCAGAGCGATTAGAGGAGGCAGGAGCAGCAGGGATCCAYCTGATCCCCATCCATGCCTGCAGATATCCAGGCACGTGGCCAGGGCTGGAAAAGTGATGAGGCAGCATCAGCAGATCTGTGCTGGCTGGAAACTCAGCCACGTGCACAGTGCAGGCAGGGTACAGTGCTAGGAGGGGGGGTTCACAAAGGACTGTTTTTAGTCCATTTTCTGTTTAGCTTTGTCCTGTCCAAACTTTTCCGTGTCACAGATGACGTTGTAGACTATGAGAACAGCATGGCAATACACACGTGGAAACTCCAGCAAGGGCAAGGTACGTTCTCAGCTGTTACTGCAATTTGGGGATGGGGCTCATGGGCAGGGTGCCTGGGGCACGAGGCAAGTGTAGACCATGCCACGCAGCCATTGCCCTTAATTCTTTCCCCAATTAAATATCCAAKGCAATGTACAAATTGCTACACACTTCTGTAACTGAATGCTGCTCTGTTGGGATGTGGTGTTTCTCGTACTCAAAAGGCCACTGTTTGGGTGGCTGTGCCTAACCCTGACCATGGGATGCTACAGAAAAATCTTACTCTTCAGGTTTTTTATCGTCTCACATTTGAGGTTGCCCCAGTGCAAGTGCAGTCGTGTCATCCCCTGTGACACAAAACGGTGTGCACACACCCAGTGGGTCAGCCCTTGACTTTCCTGCTAATTAGGGGGCCTATTTCTCAAGTTGACCTTTTAACTGTGGTTTAATCTAATGTGTGGCTTCCTGTGAGGTATGGGGGGAGCTCTGGCCTGGGAGATAGTGGGGAGTGTACAMACATATATTTAAGAGCTTTGTGTCTCTGGTGTGAAAGTTGCCTAAGCAAACTGATTCCTGTTTGCACACTCTCTAGATTAAATCTCTTTTGGGTCTGAAGAGCTGCCCAAGCTCGATGCTTCCRGAGTGTTTGCAAATTTACTGTGACCATTTTGAAACCTCTTCAAGGAGACTTTGACACTGATCTGAGGTTTCTTAGCCCAGGCAAAAAAACACATCAGCACCAAAGGCTAAATAGTGGCAGGACACATACTGTGTCAGTGATCTGTGTGTTGTCACATCAAGCCACTTACTGATGAGTGTTTCCCATCCTCACCCTCAGCCCTGCTGACAGAGAGCCCGGATGATGAGCCAGACTACGTCAACGCGGGTCCTGTGTCAGGTCCTGCCCTGCTGTCAGAGCACAGGTAGAAACAGAGTAAATGGTTGATATGGTTATTTAGGGGGCTGGAAGGATTTGGTTTATGGTGTTTATTTTGGGGTAGGTTTATGCCAAAGAGACCTCAGCCATACCTTGCTGCCAGACATCTTTTTGCCATTACAATGATGCCTCTGTTGTGGCTTTTCCTAGCAGAGTACTATTCTAAAATCCCAATGTCCAACCAACAAATGCCAACAGGAGTCCTCCACCAAGGGAGGCTGAACTGATAAATGGACTCCTGGTGTCTCTGTGCCTCCTGCTCTAATCAGGGATCACCCTCCAGGAGCACTGGGGCTTCTGCTTAGACATGGGCATTTTGTAGTCACAGTCACTACTTGTCCCTGGAAAGAAAATGTACTAGGCAGCARACTTAAGTTGAAAGCAGGGATTAAAAGTCAGTGGACTCACTGTCCTTTCTCCTCTTATTTCAAGTATTCTGCGTAAAGTCTGAAGAAATCTTTTGCTGAGCTGGAAGAGGACACCCAGTGAACATGCACACAGGGAGAGGGAAAGATTTCCATCCCTCGGTGAAATCTCTTCTCCAAACTGCCCGCAATCACACAGAAGGGATGTCACTGAAAGAAAGAAATGCTCTGCTTGAAGCCCCACAGAAGTCCAACAGCAAACCTGCGACTGGAGAAAGCACTACATCCCCAGCAACCGTGGGCAAGCCCCAAGCTCCTCATCCCATCTCATTTCCCTGCGTGTCCTCTCGAGGGAGGATGGCATCTGGGCAATGTTTTCTCCTGCCAAGCATGAAATGAATCCTTAACTTGCTGAACAGTAATGCAGCCAGCTAATTTGTCAGGGTGACTCATGCACGATGGTATTAATCAGATTACATTCTGATTTAGCTCCTGTGCTCTCCTATACAAGCAGTTTCCTACATGAGAGGAACTGGCAAGGCAGAGGTTGGCAAAGCAGCAGTGGTTGTCTGGAGCTGAATGAGATTCCAACCTGTTCACAAAAGCTAAAGAGGATTAAATGCCTGCCCTACCCATGGCTTGTAATTCACAGTGTTGGTCTATGGCAGTTTTTCTCATGTTTCAGGATCTGTTTTATARTGATACAAAGAACCAGCAACAAYTGTGAGGGGCASATCCACAGCTRTCAGCTTCAGAAACTCTACCAGTCCCTCAATATGGCTGTAGAAACATCATCCCAGAAACAGAATCCCTATCTCCTGAGCCCTGATGCAGAGATCTGGCACTTTCGGAACACTTATTGAGTTCCAAAATTGAAAAGCTTCCAAAGAAAATGGGGTGTTTTGTTATGGTTTGTAATGATACAGATATCTACATGATCAGGTGACATAGAAATGGCAGGACATGAGGTGACATGGAGTGTGTCATGCACAGGATCTTATGGGAAGAAAATGCCTTAGAAGCTTTCTTCCTCAAAACAAACTGCATTTCAGGAAAAAACACAGCCCACATTCATGGTGAGTGAGTAGAGAAGGGGAGCTAAGGGTTAGAGAGCCATGGATTAGGAGAAGGGATGTCAGGTGCTTCCTGCTGCAAATGACTTGGCTCCATTTTCAGCAGTATCACCAAGAGAGACCACAGGTGCCCACCAGTGTAGCTGAAACAGTGGGTGGGTTGGAGTTTGGCTAAGGAGAAGGTTACTAGTGGCTCCTACAAATACTATAAATTTCCACAGGACTTTTACAACAGAGAAAATCTAGTGCATTTCAAGGATGCACACAGGCAGGGATCAGGCCTGGTTTTCTGCTCACCCCAGCCCAGCTTCTCCTCACACCCTCAGGTTTCCTGATGGTGAAATGCTCTGCAAAAAGTCTGCACAGGTGAGTGACAGCAAGGTCCCTGTGAGCCAAAAATACACAGTGACAGCCTGTGCTGGCTCTGTACAGGCTCCCAGGTAGGCAAGGGGTGCTTTTKTCACTGAAACAGTGTCTGGCCCTCACAGGGCAATGAGACTGTTGGGATTCACCCTCAGCACCTGAAGAAGCTCTTGTTTTCCACAAAGTGCTGCAGACTGTGGATTGTTCACTGCAAGGGTAAGCTCATCCGAGTGATGTCTGGTGGTGTTACCACTGGTGGTGATTCATCTCCCCGCCGAGGGAGCCATTCATAAATAGATTAGCAGCAGTGACAGATCCCTGGCACACAGTGACAAATCCAGCTGGAGACTTCCCAGAAAGTTCTAGGCATTAGGTCAGTGCACAATCAAAACATGAAAAGACAAGATTAACTTCTCATGTCTCGTTTAGAGACAATTTTAGGAGAAAATGCTCTGGAATGAACCCTTTTCCTCTAAAGAAAAGGGTTTCAGCAATCCCTTCCCATGGACACAAAATGAATTTTCTGAATGAAAGTGAGAAAAACCTGTTTATTTAACAAACAAGTTGCCTGCAGGGCACGGGAAAAAATTAATAACTTGCATATTGAACCTTCAGAACCTTACCCTCCCCCACCCACAACAGTAGGACAAATGAACCTAAAACACCAGGGGAAGGGAGAAAACTGCTGGCCACATACTAGGGACAAGCAAAACGGCAGGTGACTTTGTSTGGGGAGAGGAAGAAAGAGTCTGTGCAGCTCAGGGAAGCAAAAAAACAGACGGGAACCTGGTGAACCTCTGCTGTTGGTCTGTTCCTCGCAGCAGATGAAGCTGGTGGATTTACAGTCCTTTCTTTTGTTGGTTCAGCTCTCTCCCGAGGTCTGGGATGAGATGGGGTGTCTCCTCACCTTCCCCACCGGTCCGCGCCAACCAGCTCCCACCGATGGTTTGATTCAGACCAAAAGCCAAGCCAAACAGTCCAAGAAAAAAACAACAGAAGCCACCGAAGAATTGCTACTACAGTCCAGGGGAAAACTTCCTGTCTAAGCTAACAAAACCCAAGCTAGCTAAAACCAACAATGCAGCCTCCAATCTGAACAGCAAGCCAAGCACACTGGGGAGTGAGAGCTTGAACAAAGTCTGTGCCAAATTTCCCTCAGCTCCCACCCCTCCCCAGGACTCMCCTTAAAGCTACAGAACCCATTGCTGGGCATGAAGCAGATGATCAGGAATAGAGTATCATCATAAAAGCCYCCCAAGACACCTCACTAAGCAGGGAGGCAGATTACACCAGGTAGAAAATTCCTCAACCGCCAAAGTCGAGTTTGAATGCTGTGGTGGCAAAGCAGGCAGGGCAGGAGTTGGGTGTGGAGAATCAGCCCTCCACTTACTGGGGGTCTGAGCAAATGCCCCCTTGCAGCTCTCSAGAGCAGTCAGCTGTAGTGAGAGGCAAATCTGTCCTTAGCTTTGTAAAGCTCCTGGAGCGCTTCTCAGCCAGTTATCTCCTTACACTGGAAGGCATCCAGGAACTGTTTCAGGAACTCTCATCTATGTTTGTTATTAGTCTTGCTCTCAACCACCTCATGTTTTTTTCTTTGCAATGAGTATGGATGCATGTGTTCACTAACATGCTATCCTTTCAGGACTGGCTTTAGGTGCGTGAGGATTTCGGGTGCTCAATGAGAATTGCTAGACACTGTCTCTAATGCAAGGAGACTTACATCTCCCCTGGGTCCACCTCTTCCTCCTCACATTAGATAGGCAGCCAAGTGAGCAATTCACATCCTGTTTTCAATTTAAGATGCTTTAGAAAAGTAGTTTTGGCACTGCTGGTACAGCTGTGAAATGGAGCTGGGGAGCCTGTGCTAAGTGCTGGGAAGCAGCAGCTCTGCACTCAGAGGAAGAACAAACACCTTTGGAGAGCAGGAGGTGTTGGTGGCCTCTAGGATCAATGCTAGTCCTCTTAGTTAAAAAGTGAGTATGATTTTATCCCCGGAGAGCTAGAAAGGATTAGCCCAGRGGAGAGTCYRCTCCATTTTTAGCAGTATCACCAAGTATTACTCCAACTGGAGCTGTGAAATGCAGATACTGAATAAAGCTGAGAAGAAACCCTCTGAAACTAGGTAGGTAGAGGAACCATGACCCTCCATGTTCCTCACCCTTCCACTGGCACCAGCACTGCAGGCAGGCACATCCCACAAGGTAAGGACCRGCCTTGAGTTGTCCAAATACAGTGTTTGTTGGTTCATGAAATATCCATAACACCTTCCTATCCCATTCAGCAATGAACACATTTGATGAGAAAGCAAAGACAGAGTAGGCTGGCTGTGATGTGCAGTCAAGGGAAGATTTTTTGGGGACAAAAGTTGTGATGCTGTGTCTGTAGAGAACTCAACGCTCAAGTCCCAGTACTAAACTATTAGTTGTGTATTTAATAGAATTTGTGCTGATAGTGACAACTCACTAGCTGGGAACCAAAGCCTAAGTTCAATACATGTCTAGTGAAGGAAGGATGTACTTCGAGCATGACATCCATCATTCCAAGAGCTGTTTGATGCATTCCCTGCACTTTAGCTGCCAATTCTCTTGCTCTCCTGCACACCAAATCACAAAAGGTTTGTCTGCAGATTCTGCCAAAGGAGCTGCAGGAAGACTTGAGGGGGAAATCACAATGCTAGCAGCTCTTGTTGGTAAAACTTGTGACCCTTGCGGCTTGTCAGAGAAGGGGAAGGTGTGCCCAGCCCCTGCCTCAGTGCAGGACCAGTCCATAGGCTGAAGCCAACTGGTGCTGCCAGGAAAAATCCATTTGGCACTGAGACAGCTGTGGTAGGGAACTGGACACTTGGGGTGGAAATCATTAGCAAAACAGGCAGAGTGAAGTCCAAGCATCAGCAACTTTTGCCTCTGCACTGTTTTGTGTGACTGCTGKAATCAGACCATGCTTAATTATATTAAGATGTATCTGCTTGGAGACACATGTCTCACATATCAGGTGGTTAAATTCAATTTGTATTTACTTTCTCTCTGCATTTCACACTTAATTGCCCATCCACACTGGCAAGGTGTTTCCAAAACTGGACAGGAAAACATGATACTGTAGCTTTTTGGCAGGCTGAAACTATGACATTACTTAACCTGGACAAGCAGGGACAGGAAAGGGAACTCAAATGCAGAGCATCCCAGAATTTGGTGAAGTTTTTTAAAGGTTATAAAAGGAATATCCAAAATATAGTGGCACCATTAAGTAATGTGTAATATTTCTCCTGTATGTTTGGTGAAAATACCCTCCCTACCCACAGGACAAAGTGACACTTGCTCAATGTGTCTCAATTATAACTTCAGTAAGTGCTGTATTTTGTGAAAAAAAATTTCCTTCTTGATTTTGGTAAGATCACTCATGAACAGGTTTAAGTGTTCAGGATTCCACTTTTGTGGAAACAACAGGATTCCACTTTTGTTTCTCCTTTTTAGGTCTCAATACCACGGTCATAAGCAGTTTCGCTGAGTGCACTGGACAGACCTTACTGGTCTGGACTGTCCCAGTCCTCTCTTCTATACAACACATACAAGTTTRTGGGTTAAAGTAAATTTTAAAGCTTTATTGATCTAAATAAAAAAGTACAAAACATTTTTGCAACAAGACCTGGTTTTCTCCCAGCAGGCTCAGGAGGTGTTTAACTGGCTGCAGGGGCTGCAGTCTTCTGGCACAGCCGGGCCAGCAGCCCAGCCATTTGTAAAAGGGAGTTCACACCTTCTGCTATCTTCATGTGAGTGTACCCGATTTCCTGGTGACAGACACATTGTCAAGTCTTCTGTTTTCTCCCCTAGTCTGTGTATATTTTACTAAYGACTAAATAGAACATGTCCTTTACTGCTAAAAGACCATCTCCAAGTCACTCAAACTTCACAGAATATATCTACCCCTATAAACCAACTAAAATGCCTTTTATTTGAAAAATCAAAGCCATATTTCCCCACTTCCTTTACAAGCAAGGTGCCTACATGAGGACAGGTTTCAAATATGAAACATGATTCCATATCATCAGCTCACTGTTTGTCAACTCTCTGTTAATATAATTTTTTACTATCTGTAAGACTAGAATCAAGTATGCACRTGAAGAAGATTTTCAAGGAGTTATTTGAGGCTTTGATATAAATAATAAATTCAGAATTACATCTGCTGTTAATTTTAGTTGATCACTAAACTGACTTCTGGCACTTCTGTTGGTGTTCAGATGCTAAACTTCAAGTGACTTCTTACTGACAAACTGATGATGCAGWGGG